AACTCTGAAAGTAAAAAGGCTAGAGTAGTTCGTCATGTGTGTCTGTATACATCCACGCAGCGCTCGGACTGAGGTAAAGTGGCAGATAAGTGATTTTACTTCCTGTGTACTTTATGCCGGCCTTCTGTGCATTAAAAAGCATGTATCTGAAGTATTGCACCACATTTCACAAATAATAACTCAGTTTTGTTACTATTCAACGTCAAATGTCAATTAATTAATTATACCACATTTTGGTCTTACAGTAAGATTTATGCTGCAGCTTTATAGGATATGGCATATGTAATTAGGCAAATCAGTGAGTTAACTCTATTTTCCAGGCCCATACTGTCCATCTGTGAGACATATGCTCTAATAAGCAGTGTGTGTCTGTCTATTGCACCCACATGTGTTTATGTGAAGACAGTGGTCCCTTTCAACTGCTGCTCAAAAAGCCAATAAAGTGGACACATGCTGTCTCTCTGCTGAAAACTCTCTTGTAAATAGTACTGTTTCGTTTATTGAACAAAGGTAGACAGAGCACCTGAGGTCAATGTGGTGTGAAAGGCTACGTCAGATCTGTCCACAGTATATGCCTTCTGTGTAAACACTTCTAGACAAATCGGGTGCTTACGTACATCATTTTTTCCACTGTTCAAACTTGCACCTATAAATTCAGACCAAGAATTGCCCTAGAGAGTTCAAGTAACTGCTGCAGTCCTGCCCCAGCCTGGACCTCTGAGCAGCGGTCTCCTGAGATGCAAGCAAAACAATCAAACCCCTAACACAGGAAGGTGAACACATGTCTTCGACATCCATCATCTTTACAAGTCACTTCATAGCTACTATGTGAAAGCCGGTCTGGATACAATCTTTACCATCTCACCTGGGAACATGTTCAGGCCTTATCTTTGCTGTGTCTGGCTCTACCAAGCATTTCTGAGATATCCTCTGAGGTTGATGTACAGCAGGTTTCTACCACACAATGTCAAACCCCAAATATGAGCAAGAAAAGTAGGAGAGACCATATAGAAACTGTTTAAATAGAGCTGAGGGCTTGTTTTTGCAATGAGATGGATTGTTGTTTGTGGACACCAACCAAAAGATAAAAGTTAACCTGCATGCTCGGCCAGCTCTACAACACTCTCTAAATCGAGACATTTGGCACTACTGCCTTGGAAACAGTGACTACAACTACAGGCATTCAACCTTTTTCCTGGGAAATCATTTGGCCTTGGATTTCAGTTCAAGAAGATGTGAATCATCTGCTTAATGTCTATGTAATGATCTTACCCATGCTATTTGGTAAAAATGGATGGTTAAATATCAGAGAATTTGACAGCACGTGGATCAACATAACAGCCAGCATTCTTATTTTGAAATCACATCTTGGTCAACACACTCATTATCTCTAATGTGTGAGACTCAATCTATTTAATGATTTTTGCACTGTCCTTGTGTACACGGTGTTGAAAGGAAATGTCCGTTAAGTAGTGATGTAATATTTTAAACTGCCATGTCCAGTTGAGTCATGTGACCATGCAGAGGTAAAGCGGTCAGTACATGTGTGTGTAGATGAGTGCGGTCTGAACAGTGGGCCAGTTGTGAGGTGTTTCTGAGGCACATGTGTGCGCAGCAGTGGTCCTGCAGTCAAAGAGCCGTGTGTCTGGGCGTCGCTGACTTAATGACACCACTTACAGCTCCCATTCACACTCACCTTCTTGTGCATATTTGAAAAAAAAACATTTTTCAGGGAAATCCTACCAACAGAGCAACAGTTGTGTCAATCAGAGTGCAGCATTTTAGGGCTCACTGATTGCTTTTTTGATCTTTTCCTTGGCCTAAAATAGATATTTGTTTTGCTTTTATGAAAGAAACATAATTTGGCCTGTTTTCAGCTTGGCCACCTGAAAGTAACACCTTTGGAAAACAAATTATTTCTTTCAAAAGAAGTTAAATCCAGAGCTACCTCTGGGGCAAATAGGGCCAGAACTTTTGAATTTGAGGAAAAGGTGCGGTGGTGCCCAGGATCAGAGGAACACAAGGACATGGGCGTAGGAAGCATGGACTAAAACAGGACTGGGTACACTGCACTGACTCTCTCTCCACTCTTTATGTAAACATCTCACAGGAAGTGCCCTGCTGTTTCCACCAAGTATTCTTTATTCTACTTCCATGCTAAAAGTCACTAATGAGAGACTACAATATAACAAACTAGAGTGATTTTCCTGTACCATGAACACCGTTTATGACCAGCTACCAGTGTACCTTCCAGAACAAATTACAGGAAATTTAATAATTAAACTATGAATGGGTCCATATAGTACAGTTTAATGTATATCACAGACACATGGTTTTAGATGCAGCCTTTAAAAGCATTAAAAGAGCCCCTCATTTACTGCACATGTATATATATATATATATATATATATATATATAGTATATATTTCTATGTTTATCTCTCAAAGTCAATTTTCAGGAACATTCATCTGTCATGAAACAGTTTGTACTATGATTCAGATCCTGTACTGTGCCTGGACTGCCCAAACATCACCAAAAAGCTGCATACAAAAGCAACACAATACACGGAAATACAAGTCTCTCAGGTGATCATGATATTACCCACTACACTGGAATATGCCTGAATTATTTGTTACTCCTGTTTGCTATGGCTATGGCATCATGGACATGATCAAGAAAACTCACCCTAGGTTATATTGGCCACATCGTTGTTCATTCTTACATTGTATTTTTATTATTCCAATAAGCATAAATTGATTTTTACCTCCTAATAGCCTATCTTAAATTCAGTACATTTGATTACATTACACACTTGGCATTGTACATACTGAAGAGATCTTGTGAGTGCTGAGTTTTTATTACAAGCCTTAATATGTTTTAGGACTTCACCTTACCAAGTATGACAACACCATAAATATTTTTTCCTTTTCTGTTTAACATCTTAAAATCAATCTGCAAATCATTTTAAAACAGTTTAGCTTGTTTTTTTTTTGGGGGGGTGGGGGTAAATTCAGAGGGGAAGTGGATGCATGATCTCTTGTGTGTTGCTGTTTTGCCATGTGTTGTTTTAGTAGTGAATCTGAATGGATGGCCCTAAATCCCAGTTAATCTATGACAGCTATGGGAGCATACAGGGCACAACTCCAGCCACACTATCTGCTCATCAGCTTTGTAATGGTCTGCAGCCAGTGGCTCGCTCACACACAAACTTCCTGTTTAATGTGGGAGTGGGAGTCAGATACCAGTGAGAGCGCAGTGCAAATTGACTGGAATGGTCCAATTAAAATCTGCATTCTCAAAGTTAATGCAAATAATTTCAGAAGAACAATGCAATAAGTTCAATTTAAAGCTTTTCAGGGGTTTAAATGTTGTATTGGTTAACATGAAAGCATACATATAGGGGCTTTTGTTTCCTTTTGACAGACTAAATATAAGTTTTCTTTTAATAATATAATGCTTTTATACACATCAAGTAGGCTATATTAAATGATCCTCTTCTAATATATTTGGGAAGCACTATGAACTGTCCCCCCTCACACTCACAGAACAGTATCACCCCCTGGTGGTCAAATATGTTTGAACACATATCCTCATAAAATAATGAATGAATATAAAGAAGCAACAGAAATAAAGACATTCTGTAGTCTCATAACAGAGAAACACAAACTGTTTTTCTTAAAAGGAGAACTGCGTGTCTTTCTGCTGGTCATATGCTTGTTTCCATGTAGATGCTTTGTTTGGAATTTCCCAGGAGAATGTTTCAGCGTTCAATTAGATGTCTTTAATTGCTAAAACATGCATTCTCCTTGCCTCTCTACAGATCTGATCTATAACTTGACCCGGTGGCAGCACTTGCTTGTCTCCACAGAAACAGAGGTTTAATGACAGTGCAATAACATCAGTTTGCAGACCCTTCAGAAAAGTTACACAGTCAATCTTTAAAACAGGACATAACATACAGTTTAGTTACAGAATTCCTGACATATGAAACCAGACAATATGAACTGAGTCAACAAAACTTTGGTTGAAAATTAAAATTTTCATTAAAGCTTATATTTATACCCATAAATCATATTGTAGCCTTTTTTCAAGCTAATTTGTAAAATTACAGGACAGACATTTAAGATGAACAAACGACTTGGACTCATTTGAATATAGGCTGTAGTGCTGTGGTTGCCATTCCAAGAAATAGCCAACAAGGATGCCTACAGTCAAGATTAAATAATCAATGAGGGAAGTAACTTGAATGTTACTAAATAAATACTGAACTAACCTCTTCCATACTGTTGTCATTAATTCAAATAGATGCATTTAGCAGAGGTTTGACTGTCACCTGCAGTCCATGGTCTCACCTCACCTTTATTCTGTCTTTGAACCTGAGAGTGTGAGGTCAGTCTCACATCAAAACGTTTAAATTAAGATGGTAGGGTTATGGTAATTTGTGACACTTTACCAGGAAGCTGTGAAGGCTGCCTTTGGTCCCTGGTCACATGGTCTGAGTGGCAAAAGCCTTATATTAACATTGAGGAGGAGATTCCCGCTGTGTTTAGGAGGAAATGTTTCTTCTGCTTAGTATGTTATATAGGCTACATTTTAATTGTGTAATAAGGCATTAGGTCTCTATGGTTAGCCCCCCCCTCCCCCCACCCCCACCCCCACCACCACCCCCCACCCCACCCCCAATCAGTTGCCTTATTAATTCCAAAGGCCCAGTCCCTTTTCTAAAAGTTTGTGACTGAAGAAATAGCCCATCATATCGTCTTGTGTTACAGACAAATATTGGATAGCCTATAAAAAGAAAACGCTAGTTAGTAGCTGGAGAAAGGTAGGCTAAAATCTAATGTTGATTAAGTTCTAATTTATTTTCGTTATTTATCTACTTTTTTTCTTGAAAAATAAACATTGCATATTTAAGGAGAGATTAAAACATGATATGTAAATAAAAATATGTGAATGTATTTACGCTGCACACTTTTGTGGACGGCTGGGTCTGAGCTGCACAGCAGAAGAGTAGACCTACAACATCCGGGCAATAGCCAGCTCACGCAGAAACGGAATGGCGGAGGTAAGTGAGCGAAAACGAGGCTTTAATCACACAAATGTGGTCAAACAGGGCTAAATGTAACATGGAGCATACCCTATAATGTTTATTCAAGTGTCCGTGGTTTTACCGGTGTGATGATGTCCTTTATAAGAGAGCTGCGGGCGGTTTAAGACGGAGTCGGAGAGGGAGTAATGGAAGCTCCCCGGCGGATCGCCTCTCCGCGTTCTTCGCTTTAAAGAGCCATTCCCTCTGCCTTGATACTATCGCGCACAGAAAACAATAGGCAGCTCGGGGCTCGAGTACAGTGGTGCTGAAGTATTTCACATGTGTCAAACTGACAAGTACTGAAGTGACTGCAAAGTTGGGCACGTTTCTTCAAACTCCGAGAGTGTGGGGGAAGCTCACAGAAGGAGTTATTTCCTTCTCGTTGTGAGCCGTGGAGAGGAAGAGGCGTTCAGCACCAAGTCACAGGAAAGCGCCCCTGGTCAGACAAACAGTCCCGCGACTCCACGGACAACTTTTAACATTTGGGCTTCTCCTCTTTCTAAAAAGTTATTCTGTCCACAAACAATGACGGTGATGTGTGTCTCTAAGTTCTCCTCACAAAAGTTTAGGTAGTAGCTACTTGTAATGATGCAGCTGTGACTACTAGCAATAAAAGTGAATAGTACACTCCCTGCTGTCTTATTCTTTAAGAAAACCTTATAAATATTTGTTTGGGGTTTCAGTTTCACTTAATTCCAACAGCAGCTGGTGTCACAAGTTGAAATAGGCGGTCGGTTCAAAGTCACTGGTCAGCTGATCTGTAATAAGATGAGCTGAGATCAGCGGCCTCACGTTCATCCTCCTTGTTGTTTGTGTTAACATGTGTGCACGTGCAGAGCAGAGACAGGCGAATGCGCTCTCTGTGTTTTACTTTATGAATGCCCCTATATGTTAAATATGTATTATGTGTGTTCTCAGGAGAGTGGGAGGCTCCTGAGGCTGGCCCCATGACCATCAGAGGCACAGACATGAAAGACAGCAGCCAAAGATCAGCGAGTCCTTAAAGGAGGACTCCCCTCACCCATGGAGATGGCAGCCCAGGCCCCCACTGTAGGAACATGAGTATATATTATCAAACTGTATAAGCACAGGCATTCTAGAATGTGTGTACTGCACAATATAATTTTGTATTATATTCCCTTGTTTTTCACACACTTGGAACTCTAGTTGCTCTAGTTGCAGCTGTTTTTGATCCTCATACGTTACATTGCCTTTTCTTTGATTACAGGCCAGTGAGCCGCTGGAGCAGCTACTGGCTCTGTACAGATACACAGAGAAAGAGTCGTGTCACCTGGCTGCCAGCCTGCCACACACAGCTCTTCACAAGGTGAGCCACATGCTCCATTCAAATGTCCCTTTCACCTGTGGTTAGATTCACACTGTGCTTGGTGCCACTGCTGCAGGGCTTTGTTCCGGAGGAGGAGGAAGAGGAGCTGTCAGGGGATGACCCCTCAGTCACTTCAAACACCTCGGATCAACACAGCCTTCCACAGGGTAACACAACAACAAGTGGACATTACAAAGAATTCAATCAAAACACAGACGGTGTATGTTATTAATAAGCTAGGGTTGGGCAATATTACAGTAAAAATGTAATTGTGTATAGTATGCAGCCTTAAGCTTGAATCCAAGGCCCACCCACTCTACCTGTTGGTCAGTCTATGTCATGCTTTGAGTGATGTCAGAAAGCATTAGTTACCTCTTAAAGACAATGTAAAGATACTTAATGATTTGTGATATAGGTTCCAAGACCCTATAGGCCACTAAAATTTTCATTGAACTTTATATTTTTTGTTAATTATCTGTTTATTTTGTATAATTTTTGAAGGTGATGCGAAAGGCATTCTAGAGGATGATGACACCGATGAGGAGTCTGATGATGATTCTATTCCTTCCAATGAAGAACATAAGGTTTAGCACAGTTCACACTTTCTCTGTTCACCACTTTGACTGTAAACTTAAATAAACAAAGCTTTTGGTAGGTTTTCTTAAATACATATATATATTTACAGGCAATTATGGTTGGCTCAATGTATCAAGCGAAAATTCCGCCACTCTGCTCATATACCTATGCAGAAAGAGGTAAATATCAAATGTCAATCATTTGCCTTTGTATTTTTTATAGTTCACTTATATTACTCTTCTGTTTGGATCAGAATTGAACTGTGAAGACCAGTTGCTTTGGACTCCAGGTATTCTGCCAGTGAAAGAAGTAGAGGAATTCTTGTTAAAAACCCAAAAGCAACATGGCGAAGAGGAGACGGACACTCCAAGGGAGTGTGTGCGGGACAATGAACAGGTAACTTATAATGCATGCATTCATTATTGGTAGTTATTTTTGACAGATTTCTGTTAATTCGGATTCCTCTAAAATCACAGGCCCTATATGAACTTGTAAAATGCAACTTCAATGCAGAAGAGGCACTAAGACGATTACGTTTCAATGTGAAAGTAATAAGTGGTAAGCAGTTTCTCTTTACAGAAGCATTTTGCTGATAAAGCACATACCTACAAAGATTAGATTAACATTTTGTTGTTGGGCTTTCCTTTTTGTTTCTAAAGAAGAGTTCTCTGGCTGGAGTGACGAGGAGTGTAGAAACTTTGAACATGGCTACCGAGCTTATGGGAAAAACTTCCATCTGATCCAGGCCAATAAAGTGGGTCTATTTTATATGATTGATGATAATATGATTTATTAAGTCAGTAAATAACAATGTTTAATTTATGGGTTTTTTTTTCCCTTTCTTTTTTCTGTGAAGGTACGCACACGCTCTGTAGGGGAGTGTGTTCATTATTACTACATGTGGAAGAAGTCTGATCGGCATGAGTATTTTACACAGCAGGCCACTCGACTCAGCCGCAAGAAGTACAGCCTGCAGGCTATGTAAGTGTCGGTGCTATGTTCCCACAGCCCTATGTTCCCTCATTTTTTTTCCTTTCCAAAATTAGGCCCTATGTTCACACATTTTCTTTATCATCAACTTGCAGCAGAATTTATTCCCATTTCTCCCAATTTGGTAGTCAGTTACACCCAATCTATTATTCAGTAGCAGTTGAGTACAGTTGTAATGCAGCTTTTAGCTAAATCTGGGAACATAGGGCTGACCCCTTCCAACACCGCTACTCCGACATAGGGTTGAGTGATGAACTCTTGTACCGAAATTAAACTCACCTCCAGGCTAGTGCAAGTTAGACACAGCACTTTCTGTAATTCTTTAATGAACAGTACACACTCAAACAGTCTCAATAAGCAATTTTTTTTTACTACTTTATTCAGTTTACTTCATTTATTCAAGCCTCTAGTACTTTTCAACGTTTTGTGCTAGGAACAGGCAATCTGTAAGTGCTGTGACTGCTTTCCTTTGTAAATAAGAAAAATCTTAGAAATGAGGGAACATGCTACTGTGGGAACATAGGACCTAATTTTCAAAATTTTCAGTGGGAAAAACAAAATCTTAGAAATGAGGGAACATAGAGCTGTAGGACCATTGAGCTGTAGGAAGATAGGGGTGACCCCCCCTCCATACACACACACACACACACACTGATTTAAAATTCAAGGGTTGTGGCCCCAGTACCATATATTTAGGTATGTCAGCGAGAAACTAAACCAAATTCACCATTCCAATACAATATATGAAAGAACTGCAGCTGTTTAATTTTTGAAGTTAATGGGTTAGCATTAGCTGCAAACACCTTGCTTACTATACAGCATTGTTGCTCAAATTGTCTTGGCCTTGCTGATGTTTTCAGACATCTTGGGATTGCACCCGTACTCTGTATATCCCGTCTGACCTTGTTCTCTGGTCTGCCAGCCTAAACCAACTTTTATCCAAATACCTTAAAACTAAAGCCTTGCACACCGCTGTAGCCTTATGAATATGTCCCTCATGAACAAGTTCAATGTGATGGATGTTGCCAAGAGTTTTCTGCCTAGTGTAGCGCCTTGAACTTTTTCTGGGAGAATCACAAGCCCATAGCTGTACTTGACCTGACAAGTCACACTGAAATTTTCACTATATTTTATGCAGAGGATCTCAGTCATGAAATCATGCCCTCCACCACACCTTGTATAATCATCTTTGCAATGATGCTATTCTGATTTGGTTTCAGTTATGACTGTATTATTGTTGACTTAAATATTCAGTTGCACTATCCTGTGTGCCACTCAACGTCTATTTGCCCCACCCACAGAAGACATTGAATTGGTACTGACTAGTCGATTGTATTTGCAATTTGTGTCATCCTTGTTTTCTGTTAAAGGGAGGATGGTGATAACGAAGGGGAGGTCGTGGAGCTGGAGACCAGAAACAGTGACTTGTCTGACAGCTCTTTAGGCTCTGGGCAACTCAAGTCACTGGTACCTTCCCAGATGGGCCGGGACAAACACGGTAAACCATAAGATAAATGCTGTATGATATTACAGATTTTTTTGGTTTTATTTTATTTAGGGATGTGTAGCGACATACAGTGTCCTAGCGTCACTGTGCCACATGACCTGCTGGACTGTGTTGACCATGGAGTATGCTCAGAACACAGATAGACTGTAGGCTATAAATAACAGATCACACAAAGAATAAGTGCCAAGAATAGAGATTTTTTTCAGGCTCTAATATCTGTCCTGCTTTTGTGGCCAATAATTATCAACCAAATTATCAACCATAGCCTGTCTACCTAATTTCATATGGGGGTGATCAACAGTCAGATTAACCAATCAAAAACATGTCAAAACAAACTTGTAGATTTACAAGTAAAAAATAATAATAAAAAATCCAGCTCTGAGGACTGAACAGAATGAATTTCTGATGAATCCACAAGCAAAGCACTAAAGCCTTCTGTGTCTGAGGTAAAAGAAGTTTAGTTCAGAATAAAACTAAAATATTTGAGAGCAGATGTCTTTGACGTTTGAGAGATGTGCTTCAAATTGGCGGCTGTGATTGGCACGTCCCAAGGACAGTTGTTTAACACAGTTCATGGTCTGGTTCTAGATCCTTCTGCGTTGGAACAAAAAGTAGGAGGGGCTGGATGGTTAGGCAAGATAAACAGTATTTTTTTATTTAAATCTTTATCAATATGTATATAATGTATAACACAAAATACAATTAATACAAAAAACGTGTGGACAAACAATTCAAAAACAAAGAGTTATACACAGAAACTCAAAACTGTTGTAGGTAAATCCAAACCAAAACTACTCCACTGCTCAGGCACAGCTCCCTCCCACCACTCACCAGTAATCCCTCACACACAGCATCCACCATTATCTCCTTTAACAGTTCAACACAGTTTTGGCATGCAAGGTTTTTCACTTAGGCCCATGGGCATATATTATTCCATTCTCTCAAAGATAGTCACTCAAACATAAGCAGTATTTTCCACTGTCTTAAAATCTGTAGCTATGGCAACGCCTACAAATTTAAATGTACTTTTCAAATTGTTTTACCTTTTGTCAAATGAATAGCAAACTAAACAATATTTTCTCAGATACAGTGTAATTTGTTGCACTTTTAACTCTTTCCCCCTTGGACGCCTACTTGGAACAACCCATACATATATTAGTACCTATCACAGCCTCTGATTACATGCGAAAAACCGAGCCATTTGTAATGGTAGTCAAATCACATCTTTAGTGATACAGCGGAGGTGTCAAAAGACGACATTAAGGGAAAAAGGGAGGGTCGTCAAATATAGTCTTCATGGGGGAAAGAGTTAATGATCACTGCATAAACATGAGGCCACTTCATCTACTTTCCTAGCTATCTATTGTCCACCCCTAAGACTCGCATAGCAAACCAATGAGGTCCATATTTCGAACAAATGATTGCTATATGTTTGCTATTAAGGCTATATAAGGTAAAACATTTGGCTGATATGTACTTAAATTACATTTTAATTAGAAGTTATAGTGAGTAATGGTTGATTTTAAAGTCAGACTGAATGGGATGTCATTGAAATGTCTTCACAATAAAGTTGGTGTTTTTTTTTTTTTCTGTTGTCGATATATAGTGCAATATATAGTTAATATTGCAGAGAGAAATTAAACTAGTTTATATTAGAGAGAGTGATAAAGTATGTTACAGGTTGTGGGTTTGCTCTATCCATACATGCATCTACAGTGTTCATCATGTCATCATCAGATCAGTTTTCATCTGTTGTTTCAAGTTGAGTTAATTTATTTTTGTAGTTGTGTGTACTGTTTCAATATGTGTGTATGATTGAAATATGTCATATTTTATTAATTTTTGGGATTTTTATACAAATTTGTTTTGTAATTTCTGTTTTACATTTCATAGATTCTTGTGTTTGACTTACATATGTTTTGTGCGTGTGTGTGTATGTGTCCATGCATGCTTTTGAAATGCATCCAGAGGAGGAGAGGCGGCCACGTCGCAGAAGAACTCCTCGCTTTCTTTTAAAGCCATGAAATGGTCCACACAGGCCACTGAAAGCAGGCTGGGCCTGCAGGTAAACAATAGACAGCAACATAAAAATGAATAACATTTAAATTAATTAGAACAAAAGCATATGCAATGATCCCTAATAATATAGTCATTGTTAATGTTGATCATTACTCTAATGTGAAATAGTACAAAGTAAATATTTACCTGATATTCTAATACATGTTGTCTCTGTTTAGATGGTGACCTGAGCATTGGGCTGATGGAGTTATGCAGTGACGGTCATCCTCCGAAGCAGTTTGGGAATCCAGACCTTGTCTCACCTGTGGACCTTCCACAAGGTCCTCTTTCAAACAGCTGCTGCCTGTTCCCTGTCCTGCCACAGTATCAATCCTCCTCCTTCCAGTGGGGCAGTGGAAGCCCTCCGTCCTGTCATGGTGACCCAACATGCCCCTGTTTGTACCAGCTCCACATGCACGGAACTGAAGCCTTTCTCTGTGGTACTCCTGAGGAGGGAGGGGCTAGAGCTTCTTTCCAGGTAGAATTCAGCCCTCAGCCCTTGTCTGCTGCGGCCCTGTCCCACCACGACTTTGGCAACCTGTTGAATATGCATGCCGTCCAGCATCACCACTTTCTCTCACAGTGAAAGGGCAGAAACACACCATGTGTGCAGTTTGTCCAACACATTTTAAAGGATGGACATTAAAACTTGAACTACTAGTACATTAATTTTAAAAGATGATTATGGACATATTTTGGTTGGTACTGTCTGACACTTGTCTGCGATACTGTTCACAACATTTGTGTTCATTAAAGCCAAAGGTCTGTTTTTTTTTTTGGTTTTTTTTTTGGAGCCAGACCGGCACAAGGATGGACCAGAAAAGCTTCAGTTGCAAACCATATGATGAATCTTGACTATGGTTTATATACCAGAGTCTATCAAGATTGTCTAGATGTTATCTTTTATCTGATTGTTGTGCATTGCTAATGATTATTATAAATAGAGAAATGAGCAGGAAATGTAAACTGCTGTGAACTTGAGATACTGGTGGTGGTACACTCATTGAACAAAAGTTCTATGTACTTCTTGTTTTAAACATTGCTCAATTGATCGATCAGGTGTTGAGGCAGTTTCAGTTGAAGAAAACCTGGTCACTGGAAGTCTTACTACTGGCCCCCGTGGCCATCAACTCCATAATCAACCCTTTTGAATCTGCACTGTTAACATTTTCTGACACATATTTATTGGGAAACATTAAAAGCAAATATTTTCAACCATTTCTCAGGTTCTATGAGGATAAGGATTTTGCAATTAAATACTGTATGTCTAACAAGCGTACAATGTATATCAAAAAACAACATCCATAACCAAACATTTTTTGCTTGTGAACGTTTCGGAGGTTCTGCCTCTTTCTGTGATCCCAGCTATAAACAAGTTTTATTGAGCTGGACTGTTTACATAAACTCTTAGTATTAGTTAATTATAAGGAAATGTTTTTTGTTTAATTTTCTTGTTCACACAAGTGAGATGTTCTTTGGCATATGTCAGTTATCCCTATTATATTTTGTAAAAAAAAAAAAAAAAAGAAAAAAGAAGAAAGAAAGAAAGAAAAGAAATACAATAAATTAACTACATTGAGACATAAATTGTATTTTTTTTTACATAACAAAATAATAATTGTAATGTAATTTACACCACCAATACACTATCTCAGGTCATTGTCCATAGGCCTACTAACAATACATCTGTAAGCTGCTCCAGACATCTATTTCTCTATCTATTTAAATTATATATGAAAATCTGAGAATCTGATCTAATTCATGCATTTTTGAAAAATTCTGTATTGTCCTGCATTTGAGGCTTGAGTGGTCTGAAAACTCTTGTTTTCATCCTTATCCCTGCACATATCCCTGTAATTAGCTGTGATTGTTCAAAGTCTGGGTGAAACGTACAGGGTTCTGAAATGCAGCCAGCTTTTAAGCATAAATATGATGAAATGCAACAATGAAGAGGCAGGATCTATATCAGGATCAGTTCAACAGAAAGTCAGCTGTCCCATTTCTATTAAGTCGTTTTAGATGGTTTACAATGAAGGAAATTTTAAATGACTATGGCACAGGGCAATCGCAATTACCTTTGCCAAAAGCATGACATGATTTTTTTTATTTATTTATTTTTTTCCAAAATCTAAACCCTTGTACTTTGCAGTATTATAATGTTATTATAATGGTATACTTCTTTGCAATTTAAGCTAATGTGTAATGTTGCCACTAGAGGTCTCTAGAGCTGCATTGGTTTTGAAAAGTGAGTTGCAAAGTCGACGATATCAAGTTGATTGTTTTGCAACGTTGTTTCATTTTAGTCCCGTGGTAATTGTGTTCATAACAGGCTTTACGAACAGAGAGAAGAAAGTACACCCCATTGTCAGTGTATTATGATCGTGCGCTCTATTCAGTATGTTAGGTTGGTGTACTAAATAATAATAACCTGTCTACCCTAAGCTAATTAGTGTTCTGCCTAATTAATTAAAGGCGTATCCTCTAGTTTAAAAAGTCATTCCCATCGTTAAGAGTGTTGCAGTTAACATGATCCAGATGTAATAACAGTAAACTATATGGCAATTTGCTTAAAGATCGTCCTGTTTTTTATCCCGAGAATGTGACGTTTTTGACAGGAAAAGTAGGCAGGGATTTAACGCCTGAAGCTCCACGCTAGAGGAGGGACCATGGCACTGTGAGAAGAGGGGCCGAGTTTCTCAGCGCTCTGGAATCGGAAGACCATCCAGTTATGATCTGAAACTGTCCGTGTGTGCGTAAAATGTATTTATTTATTTTTTATTTTTTTTGCCTAATGGGTCTTGAAAAGTGAGCTGTCTACGCTGTCCTCGATGTCACCACAGGTATCCGAGTGGAGAATCCCGGAAGAAAAACTCGTAAGGCAGGTTATCAACTTGTTTGCTTAGCCTGCACCTTTTTTTATTCCAAAACAAGAGAGCGTCAATGGAAGTCACAACAAGAAGTTTCTGAAGATTTCTTTTTAACTTTGAAGGGTCTACTAACGCAAAGAAGATGAAGGAGTTGAGAAAGAGAAAGCTGTACGTGGTGGTGGACGTCCTGTGCGTTTTAGTGGGTAAGTTGTGGCAAATGTAGTAGGGTACATTTCGCACTCACTGTACAGTATTCAGCACTCTGCAGAGTTGATAGCCATATGTCGTGTTTTTAAGGTGTGACATGTTTCTCCACCAAATGACATTAGTGACAGCACTTCGCTCCCTGTGCCATGTTTATTCGTGCGTAAAATCGTGCCAATGGCAAATGTCATGTTGGCTCCCCATAACGTAATTGAGAACTTCACAAACAACTGACTACTCATTTTATTCCATCAGATTTTGAACTTAAGAAAATATTTTAGTCATGGGCCTACTTAGATATTGCTTCTTCTTGCCTATGGATCTGTCTTTGAACGATAGTAGCTTACGTATTTCTACAGCAAATACAATTCAGTTTTCAGTTACAATGAGATACAGTCTTCTACATTTATGGACTATTGCTCAGTCTGTGTCCAAGGCTCACTTTGTAAATAAGTTGCAGGAATGTTTTGGGGCTGTTGGCCTGAGTTGGGGAAGAGGACAAAACATCCCTCATTATTACCTTCCTTCATTATAATTTCTCAGATAGTTTCCGGAACCTACAAAATCAAGAAAATGGGGATTAAGCCTGTCTTTGGCCATAAATATGGAACTTCTATAGTTTTCTTTAAAAGTAAATGATTTTCCTAGTTTTTTTCTATCTGCACCTGACCCATCTTAAAATGCCTTGGAGCTAATTGTTTGGAACCAGGGTCAGAGCAAGAGCAAGTGCGATGAGACATTGTTCTACATATGTCTTTAAATATCAAGAACTATCTATTATGAAACACTCCTACCAACGTAAAGCCTCTTGTCTAAACTGTTACAAAAGTAAGTTGCAGTGGCGTTTGTTCAAAAGCGCTTGGCCCTGCATTGTGTGGGTTGTCTCGTTCACATAGTGCTGAAGTGGATAAGCCTCTCCATCAGCCTCTCACAAGTCAGGGATCAGACTGGGCTTTTGTCTCTGGGTTATTGCCCCTATGGCACCATCTCTCTCCTGGCCTCACCCTTCCTGTGTGCCACCCACGTTTGCCCACACATTATTATCAGGTCAACCAGGCTTATGTGAGGTCAACACAGACATGCAATCACACCACATCCAAGCCTGTCATTACATTTAAGGACAGGAAAATAGACTTCCTGTTGGCATAATGTTATGAACTATTTAAAATCATTAACCATTAAGTGTTATAGATGGTTAAGATGCAGTTTTTCTAGTTTTATTTCCTCAAAAATGTCTTCTTCATTTAATAGTAAATATATAACAGTTGGTGTTGGCAGTTGACTGTGCATCTTTAAGGTAAATGTTAACCTTTCTGTGCTTTAGTTGAATTTGTATTAAAAGGCTGAATCAGAGTTAGAAATCACTGTCATTGGTCCTCTTAAGGAAATATGAATAGTAATGAGTTGAGTTGTTAGCAATATAGCTTTACACACTCTGTTCTATTCACCCTATCACAAGCGTCATACCCATGTTTCAGATTTTAGGGATAATTTAGCATAAAAATTAAATAAACTTTTAGATTCAGTTTATAAAGTGTAAAATGTCATGGTTTCTCCACAGTTAGTTTGTGCATGTCTTGATAATTGTAAGGGGTGTACATTTGAATGTAAGAACTTCATAGTTCATAGGAAGCTTATTTTGCATTGTCTACCACTAGAGGTCATTAAATCCCACCTTCATTCTAATATTTTTCAAGCTGAGATCATTAAGTTCTCTTAAGGGTTGTATAAACACATTATAGAAAAACTTCAAATCATCATCATATGTTGTTTAAATGTGACAGGACAATCTTTAGTGATTAAACTTAAACATGACAACATTAAAAAATAGATTAATGTGGTCTCCATGCTATTTTAGACAACTCTTTAGCTTTTTTTGACAAGCCACAATATTTTAACATCTTAATAGCATTGTCTATGGTAGTAATAATCTGCTCAGATGGTTTGCGATGTGAGCAGTGCTGCAGAGTCTCCAGGGAGCATGCTCTGTTGTGCCAGATCTGGGAAGACTGTTTGTCTGGTGTTCTCACAAAGGCCATGAACATGTTTAATAGGATAGTTTCCCTCCAGAGAGCTTTATCCTGGAAACGGCTTGCACAACTGAAGTCTCACAGGACATGCAGTCTCATAAACTATCTCATCCTTAACAAACTTACATCTCTCAACAAAGAATAAGATTTGATTCAAACTGTGCATTATAGCTGCCAGTGTTTCTTTGAAAATGTGCTCTTAATAATAAAAGGGTACATTTGAATGTGTAAACTGTGATTCTCACGCCTTGGCCTTGAATCCAACATTTCTGTTTATTGCAATACTAATTGTTTCAAAATATATTATTATCTGTGAAAACAAATTGTTCCAATCTAAATAAATAACGCAATAACAAGTCAAAAATAAAACCGTATGTCCATGGCTTCTAATTGGTTAATTAAGAGTTTAAGGAGAGAATGCAGCAGATGTGCAATACCCAAGATTTAAGTGTCAGGTAGGGTAGGGCTTGGAAATACAGTAATAAAAATGTTATCTGATCAATAACAATATGCTGTGTTTGATATTATTGTTGTGAGTCAGTGCCTCTGTTTAATACAGCTTTGTGCTCAAACACTGACATTTATCCTCATCCACTGCTCCTATTGGTGAGCAACAGGTGAATTAAACCAACTGCAGTGATGAAAGAACTCCCAGAAGTAGCAGATTTTTGTAGTTACCTGTTAATAGGAGAATTTAAGTATCCTGGCATATCGCCCACTCCTACATCCAAGTCTTAATGTAGAAAACACACAACAACAAACTCTAATTTGAGCTCTCACATGATCAGAAAAGCCAGATCAAGAGTTGTCAAAAACAAAAGAGACCTCCTGGTTTCAAGTAGAGCAGTAAAGCAGAGCTGAATGAATTTAAGATATATCAATAAAAGAAGTTGAAAACAAGGAATAATATTTTAGAGGTGCATATGTTTAAAAAAAAAAAAAGAAAATTTCTTTTCATCCAATCAGCCCCTCACCTTCTCTTTCTGCCTCACTTGGACCTAAGAACGCGTGAATGATGGACACACTAAAACAGAGGGATTAGAAATAAAGAATGGGTCGCGGGTGCAGATTTGGTGTGAGTGGTGAAGTTGGGCGTTTCTTTGTGAATTAGAATTCCAGAGGCCAGTGGCGCTTGTAGGCTCAGCACATACCTTCCACATGAGTCAGTGTGGCTTGGGCTGAGACTGTCATTCTTATTGGGAGGGGTCACTGTTTTTACGTCCCTTAAAATTAGTATATTGTTGATTGGGGATAAATGTTATAATATTATCCTGTCCTCTGCGCTGTGGACATTTGAAGGCAGCAGGAGTTGAAACATGGTGGCCTCTGGAAAGAAATGTTTTTAATAATGTATTGATATGGGTTTTTCATGTGTGATGCAGATAGTGGTTGTTTATAATCCAGAGTTGTTTAGAATCCAGAGCAACCAGTGGTCGATAAGCCCTGCTGATATTTTTGGGTCAATATTATTTTCCTGAAATTATGTAATTATAACTGTTCTGTGCAGTTATCTCTTTGTTTGTGTTCAAATAAAGCTTTGTGTGTATTTTTTAGATAGATCATCCAAAACAAAATATTGGCCTGTGCTGGATATATGCTAAATAGACAAAATATCTGCTCTAGTTAAAAGAATGGATTTAATGTTTAACATAGCAGATTGGCACATGCCCCAGGCACCTCTCATACCTCAGACCAATAGTTGGATGTGACATTTATTTCAAATTCTTTTCAACTTTTACATTGCACTAGAGGTGTCAGAGGCAACTGTGCCATTGTCTGAATTTGGTTGTGTCCCCACTTTTTATAAGATCTCTTGCCTGAGAGCCAGGTTGCACACTTCTTAAACACTTTACGAAGATGTTAAGCCTATCTGAAAACTGGGAGTTTTAATTGACAGATGGATTTGCCAATCACACATTGTTTGTCCTATCAAAAAAGGGAAAAATATCACAGGGAACTGAAAAACATTTTCTGCAGAATTAATGACTTGAAGAGCGGAACTTATTGGGGCGTACTCAAGCATGCCAGAACTACAAAACAGGTGCATGATGGGTATCATAGTCTCATGCACATCGGACTTTTAACACTATTATATGTGACCAGTGAGTTCCTTCATTTCACGTGGTTCACATTTGATCAGGCTTGAGGCGCAACGGAGGGCGCCAGGACCACACTGATATCAATCTACAGAGAGATATCATTCTGGATTTGCCAGGCAACAAGACACCATTAATATTGATAATATAAGTTATGATATGTGTAAGGTATTTGTCTAGATTTGACCCATCCTTGCCACTGAAGCATCCTGGACGAGCTCAGAACTCAATGTGTCTACAAATAACTATAAATAATAATTTAATAATATATACTTTTTTTTATTTTATTTAGTTTGCACAAAATACAATAATAACTGCTACATTTTGAAGATTTGCTAATTTTTCTCACCAATAAAAGCTCTTAGGAAATGATGACAAAATGATCCTATATTAGTCATATTTGCAGCCATACAAGTAGCACTGGGAGTGCTTAAAATTAAATAACATGTAAAAAAGTGACTTTCTGGGAGTTGGAAAACATGTCAGAAAGTGGAAGAAATTAGAAGTTGGCTGAGCTGTTCCAAATGTGACCCCACAGGAAAATTTGAGAGGGACCAGGGCAGCTTTGGGCCACGACATGCTCCTTACATCACACATTCACAGGCATTCACACGGCACGGCACGCTACACAAATATGCACCCTGTGTGTTTTTACCATCCAGCACAATTATTACATGCACAGGTGCAGTAGGGTTAAAGACTATGTAGGTGTTGTCCTCTAAAACTATCAAGGGATCTACCAGTGTGCTTCAATAATGGACTTGATAGGAGGCAAGGAGTTTTTCTAGGGATTTAACAACAACCAAACTATTGTGATAACGGGGAAAGGCTTACAGTAATATCATGGACTGTCGCAATATATCAAATTATAAG